TAACAATATTTATGTTATGAAAGAGTACGAAAAAAAAAAAAAAGATTTTTTCCTTATTTGATCGGATTAAAAAGAAACTTTGGGATTGCTGAATCACAGAAAAAAAAAAAAAGAAAAAATAAACATATAAAGCAACGGAGCCATCATAGTATTTTTTAACTCCTCCGAAAGGAAGGATGGCAATTTGATCATTTACCCATCTGAGTCTGATAGATTCGATTTTTCTCTTTCTTCAATAGAAAGGAGGGGAGGTCAATTTTCTTGTAGAGCCGTATGCACAAAAGATGCCTGTACGGTTGTTCAATTCTATCTTTTTTCTATTCTTTATCTTTCTTTTCTCTTTGCTTTATCATGCGAGATAGGGGAAGCTTTTATTTTGTTATATCATCAGGGTAATGATCCATCAACCTGCTAGTTCTTTTTATGAGGCACAAACGGGCGAATTTGTCCTGGAAGCGGAAGAACTGCTGAAACTGCGTGAAACCCTCACAAGGGTTTATGTACAAAGAACGGGGAAACCCTTATGGGTTGTATCCGAAGATATGGAAAGAGATGTTTTTATGTCAGCAACAGAAGCCCAAGCTTATGGAATTGTTGATCTTGTAGCGGTTGAATGAAAATAACATGGATTTCGCGCAAATCTGTGATTTGAGATTTTATCTTCGAATTGAATATTCTATTAAATAGTATCCATAAATGGTCAGCTGGTAGAAGGAGATTCATTGGCGAGCCTATTTTTATCCCAAGGGGAACTACAGAAGATGATGGATACCTTCTTGTCGTTGAAGTAAGCAATTAAATCATCATTATTTATTTTTGCATTTAACTTAATTTTTTACACAGCCTGAATATTTTAGGGCCCGTTTGGCCATAAAAAAAGATTCATTTTTTCTATAAAAAGAAAATTCACTTTTTTCCGGAATCAGCGTTTGGCCATCAAAATTTCAATCTTTCACTTGAAGATGAATTTCAAAATTTAAAAAACTAGAAAAAACTATTTTTCAAAGCACTCACAAAAATTCAAAAACAGCTCCTAATTGTATTCATGTCCAAACACAACTCTAATTTCCAAATACCATTTTCAACTCGAAAAAAAAAATTCAATTTTTTCCGGAATCAACGTTTAGCCATCAAAATTTCAATCTTTCAATTGAAGTTGAATTTCATAATTTTTCGGAATATGAATAACTCGAAAAAACTATTTGTCAAAGCACTCACAGAAATTCAAAAACAGTTCCAAATTGTATTCATGTCCAAACACAACTCTAATTTCCAAATACCATTTTTAAGTTGAAAAAAAATTCTTTTTTTTACGGAATTTCACAATTCTTATGTCCAAACACCCACTTAATCTATTGTAAAATATAACTGACCTTGTTTTTTCAAAGACACTAATCCCATAGTTTATGAAAGGTGGCAAATGGGGGTCGGGTCGGATATGAGCGGGTCAAAATGGGTAATTTTAAAAAGCGGATAAATCATTCGACCCGAACCGTATTTGAGACGGATAAAAACGGGTTTATCCGGCGGATAATATGGATATCCATATTAACCATGGCTTCTTAAATATGATCACTTATGAGAGAATTCCTAGTCTCCCAAACTTGAGGAACTCCAATTTGAGGCTTTACAAATGTAAAAGTTAAATTCATTAGTTATCCATTGGTTATCCATTTGGTTAACCATTTTCTAAGTGGATAATATGGTTCTTTATCCATATTCGACCTGTTTTTAAACGGTTCATTATCCAACCCATTTTTTGATGGATAATATGGGTGGATAACTGTTTTCTTTTAACCATTTTGCCATCTCTAGCTACGAGTACGTAGTGACCTAGTAGTGTAAAAGAATTGTATAAAAGTTAAACATTAATTTTTATAACAAACTTCAGCATTACTTCTATAGTACTATTCTTATGATTTTGTATGTGGAAATTTGCAGTATGCAGTGTCAACACAAAGGTGCTATCTTGTAATTTTGGATGCACAAAGAATTGGAGAGAAGAATGATGTGGTTGCAAGACTTGAAGTCCCAAGACATTTGAATTTCCCACTTGGTTTTCATGGCTTTTGGGCTCCTAGCAACACTAGCAATGGGAATTTACCAAATTTTGAATCCAAGTGCAAGGATTCATGGTCAATGCTAGAGGAAAACATGGTTTATCTTGGGAACTCAAAAAACTCAAGGTAGCTGCAGCTTCAAAGAGGAACTTCTCTTCTTTTATTTTTTTCACAGTTTCACTAAACAATGTTTTCATGTATACTGTATACATGTCCATTTTTACCAAAAAGAAAAAAATGCACGCATGTCCATTAGTATATAGCTTTATTCAAAAGTGTTATTTGTAAAATAGTTCATTCGTATACCAGAATCAATAAGATCAGTTCCAACAACATCGATTCTTTTACTTCTGATGTTTCATGTGCATTTAACTTTATTCGAGGAGTAGCGGAAAAAACTTAGAAAGATGTGAGTGTTTCTCTGTCTAAAACTCCAATTCTACTACTTGCTATACTGCTTTTCTTCATAAACTATAATCATATACAGCACACATTACCAAACTCAACCAGCAATGAATAACTCTACATCGACAACACAATAAATGTACCGCCTGATATAGGCTCGATGCAAATTGACGATACAACACCAATCACACCTTTACCATCTTTTCTTCAAGCCCTAATCTCTAATAAACACCCCACAACAACTCCTCATATACAACAGAGTATGAACTATGCACTGGATCTATCGGATGAAAGTCTTCACAACAATCAAGATGACGACATTTTTATACCTATCACTACTGAAGACAAATGCCGTTTATATACGCCATGGAAATGCTCAGTAATAGTTAAGGTATTTGGTAAGAAGATAGCACATCATCTACTACAAAACAAGCTTCTTGCCTTATGGAATCCAACTGAAGATATTCCACTTATTGATCTAGGTTCTGACTTCTTCCCATTAAATTTCAAAAAGAAGAGAACATGCTTAAGGCACTACATGGAGGTCCCTGGTTTGTTCTGAATCATTTTCTATCAGTTAGGCAATGAGAGCCAAAATTCATAGCTTCATCTATGTTAAGAAACCAAGCGTCCACCAGACTGTACAGAGAACCAGGTTCTCTATGTGTTTCCACTGAAAATACTAATGAACCAAGTTGTATAGCGATCTGGTCCTAAATCAGTTCCCACCGTGCTAACTACTGAACCAATATGTAAATGAGACAGAGGATAGGTTCCTACTGTATAGAGAACCAGATTCTCTATCAGCTCCCACTATAAGCAGCAGACTGTAAAACCAACCAGTATAGGGAATCAGGTTCTCTAATTGTTCCACAGTAGTTCGGCAGTAAGTAAAGAACACAGAGGATTTTTACGTGGAAAAATCCCACACTAGGGGATCAAAAAACCACGACCTACACTTGTAGACTTTCAACTTCACTAACTTGTGAACACCTATTACGAGCCACTTTTTAATGACTCTATTACAAAGGATTCAACTCAACTAACTTGTGGTACTCTCACCACAAGCCACTTTGTGACTCTCTAGTTACAAAGACTTTAACTAACTTGTGATACTCTCACCACAAGCCACTTTGTCACTTCCTAGTAACAAATACTTTAAACTCAACTAACTTGTAACAACACTATTACAAGCCACTTTGTAATAACTCTATTACAAAGGCTTTAACTTATGACTAAACCTAGTCACAACATAAACTGGAGAGTTTACGGATTTTGGATTTCCTAAAAAATAGCTTCTAAGAAAGCTAAGATAGGAGTTTCAATGAAAAACAAAAAACAAAGACTCAACAAACCTAAGGACTTAAGATATCTTCGATCTTGGATCAAGTCCTTGAGGTTGCAACAGCTTTGTTCTTGAGAGAGGTTGTGGCAAGCACTTGAGAGAGTATTTTCATTTCTGATTTTGCAAGTGTTGGAGAAGAATGTCTTGTGCCTTGCACCATGTTTATACTACAAAAGACATTACCATAGTGATGTCAATTCACAATGGTGATGTCAAATCTTGGTTAGTACATGCCTCTTTCCAATGGGAAGTGACTGCTGCACTGTCTGCTGAACTGTTGCGTGTATAGTTGCTGGCAGTCACTTTCTGCAGTTGCTTTCCAGCTGTACAATTGACTTATACTTCTGTCAGGGAACACCAAGGTACCAGGTTCCTAATCTGGTTCCTGTGAATCTAAAGGCACACTGCCCAGATTATCTTGAATGATTGTACCAGGTGTGAGTACGTGATTTTTGACACGCTTAAATTACTCCTATAAATTCGTTAGAATTAGGATTTTTCTTTTATTACTTGAATTTTAGGGAATTAATTGCATGATGTTGTGTATTGTTTGCATTTTGTGTGCATTTTAATTGATATAATTTCAAAAATACAAATAGTATGCATTTTAATATCACAAAAATAAAGAAAATAACAAAAATGGTTCTTTGCATTTCTACTCTTAATTTTTAAAAAAATTTGTCTTAAATTTTCTTTTAAAATTAGGAATTAGTTTGATTTGGAAATTTAATTAGTGTAATTTTAGAATCCATTTGGGTCTTTATTCTAAATCTCACATTTAATAAAATCAGAAAATAAAATACAAAAATAAAATACAAAAAAGAAAAGAAGAAAATAAACAAAAGAATTTGAAAGGATTGGCCAATTTGGGCCATTTTTCGTGTCAATACCCAGCCCAAGACCCCCTAAACCCGTTCCAACCCAACCCAAAATCACCCCTGAACCGGTCCAGCTTCTATTACCCTCTAAACGACGTCGTTTGGCTTAGTTTCAATCTCAGCCATTGATTCTTTTGATCCAACGATTGAGAACTAACGAGGTTTTTAATATATAAAGGTCGGAATTCACCCCCTACCCCTCATTCCCCACCACAGACCATCCTTGATATCTCCGGCGTAACGCCACCGTTCGCCGCCGTGTTCCGCCGCCGGAAATCGCCTCACGGCGGCGGCCGACCTCCATTTCCTTCCAAAATTACACCTCCTATTCTTCTCCTCCTCCTCGTTACAGATCCACAACCCGTTTCCCTCAAACCCTAACCAAGCTCGTCGAATCTTCAACCAAAGTTTTCCGGCCAAAACTCAACCTTCTCCATTCACCACCAAATTAACACCACCAGACCGCCTGACCCTCCTCTACCCAACCCCCCTAACCCCGTTCCTCAAATCTCGCCGGAACTGCTCGGATCTTGAGTAGAGGTTTTTCCGGCCAAAACCCTAGTTGCACCAAACCTTCCCAAATTGATGCCACATAGTCCTTGGACCTTTCCCATGAAGAATTCACGGTCAAACACATTCAAATCCCACTGGAATTGTTCGAATCTTGATTTGAAAAAAACACAGCCGGTAAGTTTCTTTAAGGGTTCTTAACAGTCCTTTTATAGTTAATTAGTCGTGTAATTAGTTAGTCTAATTTTGTGTGTTTCCGTTTTTATCTGGTTTAATTTGTATCACAGTAGTTATTTGTCTAATAGAGTCTGGTTTATTTTATTTTAGAGCTTAATTGATTGTCGTTTTGATTGATTAGCTTTAAATTAGTAGGTGTCTTTTAAATCATCTTAGTCGATTAATTATTTCATTTAGATTTAGTCGTCAAAAGTAGTTCATGCCATCTGATTTCATATTGAGTAGTTTCTTGGTTTGTTGATGATAATTGGCAACTCATAGTTCAATGGTTGGTTTGGGTTAGGATTTGAGTTTGGATTTAGTTTTAGCTGATTAATACTCATTGCAGTGATTGCTTAACTATGGTTCAGGCAGGGTTGGGTAGGTTAGTGATTCTAGGAATAAGCTAAGGGCAATTGGGGTAATTTAAGGGTTTTGGAATCTGCTAGAAAGTGAAATAAAGGCCCTAAGAATATTCTTGGAATAGGCACTTAGTTATAATTTCAGGAAAATAATAGGCTAACTTGGGTAACAAGTTAATAACTAAGGGCTAAACTGAAAGTAAAAGAGGGACTAGGGTGAAAAAGGAAAATCTGAAGTTGTATCTCTTAGTTCCTATAAAATGGCACCCACATGCCTTGAACGGAGGTTTTCAGCTCCAATTTCCCCAAACAAAAAAAAATATTTCATTAGCACCAATCTGAATTCAATTCAAACTTCTCTAGATCTAGAGCTTAAAAAAGCCCAAAAACAAAAAACAGGAGAAAAAAGCTGAAAACTCAAAAATACTGTGCTATTAAGATTTCAGATTCGATTGCAAGTTGTAGCATTGAATTTAGAATTAGTTAGCTTAAAATTTGATCGCTAAGGTTTGTTAAAGGTTTCTGGAGCTATTTCAAGTTGGATTTGGGTTTTGCTCGAGTCAATTTTTGGTCTGTTTTACTGGTTGTTTTCATTGCTGGGATTTCGAGTGAATTGCTGTTGTTTTCCTGCTGCCGTGACCTTGCTATTCGCTCCTGTTTAGCCTGTCAATGCATTGACCTCTCCTTCTCTTTGCTTTGCTTCATTTCCAGGTACTTGCCTTGATCTCCAATAGCAAAGGCTAAGGATACCTGTGATTGAAGTTTTAACTTAAAGGGAAGTGATTCTGAGTGTGCGATTGTTTACTGTCCTGTTTACTTCATATGTTTGTGATAAGTAGATGTATCTTCATATTTCATGCCTACATGTGTTTGTTTAGTTAAGCTCTCACCTGTCTAAGTTTTTTCAGTCAAGCATGGCTCTCTCTCATATGTAATTAAGTTAGGACTGCTTGTTATGGGTTGATCTAGTTCGTATTCACAGTTTAGTTCATGAACTGTAGTTGAAGATTCCTTTATTGACTGTTTCTGCTTTGTGAGAATTTTTAATTCCATGTTCAATCTGTGAATTTATTAAAAACGCATTCATATCTGAACTAAAAGAAACGGTTGAATCTCCTTTAATCCCATTATGTTCAAGTACCATTTGGTTTAGATTTGAATATGAATGAGTTTTGTCAATTCAATCGTTTGAGCTGCTGGTGATTATAATCTGTTGAGCCTTTAGCATTGGAAATCTCTCATGTGATAATTTGAACGTGAAAGAAGCCTATCGAAAATAGCATAAGGCAGTAGGTTATACCTGCAGATGATAATGAGGGGGCCAATATTTAAACCCAGGCTGTTAGGAAGCCCAAACTTGATAATTGAAATCATTGCAGAGACTTGGGGCCTATAGAAATTAATCTCCTGTACAACTAAACCTGGGCTAGTTCCTAAAAATCCAATGCAGGTCACCCTCTCACAAACTGCTATCGTCGCAGACTGGGCCAAAGTTCAAGGCCCAAACGTGCTAGAGTCTAAAATTCCTTTAAGACCATTTAAGACTAATTTGTAAAAATGGGTTCTCGAGTTAAGTACGGGCGTCAAATTAAGAGTTATCCCTCTTGTTTGAATAC